GAGATGTAAGCTGAATAAACCCTTTCCTCCCCAAGTTGGTAGTGGTCAGAGTGTTTTGTCACAGCAATGAGGAAACAAACCAGGACATTATTTTTCTTATTTTATGTGTATGAGTGTATTGCCTGCATGTATGTGAGTGCACCCGTTTTGTGCAATGCTGTGGAGGTCAGAAGAGGGCTTTGGATTCCCCTGCAACTGGAGTTAAGGATGGTTCATAGCCGCCATGTGAGTGCTGGGAATTGAACCTGGGTCCTCTGCAAGAGTAGTCAGCACTCTTAACCGCTGAGCCATCTCCAGCCCTGGAGATATATTCTTATATTGAGGACAAGGCACTCAGGGAATCCAGATAGGAAGATAAAAGCCTTCTCAGTGGTGGCATTCCTCCTTCCCCTTTAATGTGATTATATCAGAAATCAGAAGTCTAGGAAGTGAATAGCTGCAGTATTTGCCCACATAGCGTTTAGAGCACAGTGTAAGTTTTTGGAGGATTATGAAAAGAATATGAAGTGAATAACTTTCATTGTATTTGTAAATATAGCAGAAGCATTGTATGCTTGAATTCAGTTAAAGTCTTACGTTCTAATTTAATATTTGTGGTCTGATTATTAAGATCATACATTGTGAAGTAGCTGAAAATTAAATACTAAATATATGAGGAAAACCCAAACCCTACTTAATCTCAGAGGTGTGGCTGTTAACATTTTGTCATATTTTGTCATACATTGTCTACTGAAAAGTTAATTTGAGATCGTATATCTTTTTATGTCCTGTGGTTCCCATTTACTAACTTACTCTGTCATTAAATGATCTGTCACAACATGATTTCTAAATGAACTGCTGTATGGTGTTCTACTGCATGGGCGTTCAATGGTTGGCTGAAATCTGTTACAAACTATGAAACATTTTAGGGTTATTTCCAGTTTTTCACTGTGGTAAACATCCATGAAGCTGTTTCCCCTGTAAACAGTACCCCAGATTTGAAATCATTTTTGTCTCACTGTGTAGCCCAGGCTGTCTTTAAGTTTGCCATCCTCCTGCTTCTGCTTCCAAAGTGCTGAAATCTAGGGTATCCACCACCACATCTGGTTTGGTGGATGTTTCTAGTGGTAGAAAGGATCCGTATAGACAAGTAGTAACCCTTTGTGAGTGGCTGTGGTGATTTTCATGTTCTAGCTGTCTGATCATGACCAATTTGACAAATATTTGATGTGCAAATGGTTGGCAGTAATTGAAAGAAAAGTGTGTCTCTTTGTTCCCTACTAAGTCAATTCTTGACATTTTCTCATGTTCTCCTTAGTCATTTCTATATAAATGCAAGTCATAAAATTTTAGAGATCATTGAATAAAAAGTATAGGCGGAATTTTGTGTTCTGACTTGTATGCGTCTTATTTGATCAAGTTCTGCCTAAGGAATGCAGTGGAGTTCAAAAACCTCCTTCAAACGTAGCTTATTTATGCCTAAAACAAGTCACCATGAGTATCTGGTTCTTCTCCTTCCCCCAGCCCCAGCAAGAGTTGAAATAGTAAACGTAGTAAGAATTATTACATATCCAAGAATTGAATTATCTAACAGGACACCCAGCAGACTTTATGACCCCATAGGTACATGGTATATGTGAATGCCTGCATTGTCATCATTATTTATAAGACTCTGCCCATCACTTTGCCTCGGCTACTGCCATCTTGGAAGGGGAAGATCCTGTAGGACATCTCTTCTGACCCCCTTCCTTTCCCTCATCGCCTTGGCAGCTGCTTCATGATCAGGCCTCTCCTCTCTTGCCTTTGTTCAGCCCATTTAGTGAGTCCCCTTTTGTGGCCAGCACTGTCAGACCCTTCTCTTTGAAGAGAAGAAAAACCTGTTGAGACAAACCTGAGACAGTTATGTGCATCCTTTCCATGCCTGGCATTCAAGTAGTTATACCACAGATATTGAAGTAGCCTTAAGGGATAGGTTGTAGAACTCCCAAAAGTGAACAAAAGAAAGATTAGGACCTGAAAGAGGCAGTACTCCTGAGGAATATAAACAACCTCTGGGTTAAATGCTCTAAGGCTTGCTTTATAAAGTAGGAAGTGCCTGGAGAGGTTGTACCCTGTTTCCTAACCACTCATTGATGAGGGCTTCAGAACTGCATTGCTGTTCTCTGGTTCACTGTCCTGCAAGGGTAGATGGACCATTGGCTGAATCTTGCTTGTATAATAGTCAAAGGCAGAAACTTGAAATTGGTTGGATCTGAGGTAAAAAATGTTCCCATTACATTCATAGGCAAGGCCTTGACCCTCCTGGAGCTTGTTTGCTCATCTGAACGATGGGAACAAAATTTCTTTTGGGGCCATGGTGATAAGTGAATGAGAGATGACCATCTGCCAGGTGTATATTGTCCTCCTAGCAGGCCATTAATGCTGAATAAATAGAATGTTCTTATCCTGAGGAAATGAACTGAGAAAGAAAAGGTCTTAGCCATCCTGCCTGATCACATGTTGGCTGGAGGTGTGGACAGGATGTGTTCTCTGAATGTGGGTGTCATTATAATGAATAAACTGCTGCTGCAGACTCCACAAAGCAGGCTTGAAGGGGACTGTGTTTCACATGGGCTCGCTGGAATCCGGACAGCCAACCTTTGGCTTCCTACAGGATGGACCCCATAGCTTATGCTAAGCTACTGAAGGAATCTGGCAGCCAGGTTTTTAAGAATGGGAACTTCTCTTTGGCAATCAGAAAGTGTGATGAAGCCACGCAGATTCTCCTACAGTTACACCAGTGGGCGTTAAGTGTTCAGATTTCATAGCAGTTCCCTTTTTTTTTTTTTTGGTCTTTTTGAGACAGGGTCTCCCTGTAGCCCCAGCTGTCCTGGAACTCACTATGTAGACCAGACTGGCCTTGAACTCATAAAGATTTGCCTGCCTCTCATTTTAAGATATTCTGTGTATATCAAATTAATGAAAGAGTGAAGGAATTCCCTTTCATTGCAGACTTCCCTGCCTCTCTGCTTGGCCAGAGCTGAGCCTAGTGACTTTGAATTTCTGGTATCTGCCTGCTGTCCAGACCTCATTTTCCCTAATTTGGTGGTTTCCTGGAACTGTGACCATACCCTCTGCTCTAAAACTGTTGGAGACTACAGACATACAAACTGCAGACTGATTGCAGGCGTGTGCCACCACGCCCGGCAGCAGTTGCTTTTTAAGTAAATGAGGACTTTGGTTGTTTAACTTGTCTCATTTCCTATCACACCACCTAGTTTCTGTTTCCTTCTCCTACCCACTTCCTGTTTATCTTCTCAGTAAGTCCACAAAGAATGTTAGTGGACTAGGGAAATTGAAAATGAAACACAGAGGACTGTTAGTAAACATGCTGGTTGCCCAAAGCACTTGTTGCCCTTTTCTTTCTCCCTCTCCCTCTCCCTCTCCCTCTCCCTCTCCCCCTCCCTCTCTCTCTCTCTCTCTCTATATATATATATATATATATATATATATAGTTTGGACATCTCAAATCAATACATATTTCTTTTTTTTTGTATATATATAAAATTTTATTTTTGTGTGTATGCATGTATTGCCTGCAAGATAAATAAGTGCATCTGTGTCATGCAGTGCCCGCGAGGACAGAAGAGACTGTTGCTAGCTGCTATGTGGGTGCTGGGATTTGAACCCAGGTCTTCTGCAAGAACAACCAGTGTTCTTAACCTCTAAGCCATCTCTCCAACCCCCATTGCTGTTGTTTTCATCAGAACGATTTTCTCTGCCTTTTCCTCTGGTCGTGGGGGCACATTGCAGGACCAAGGCCACCCTCGACTTTCCCTGCCTCTTCAGCTTTAGAAGACCTGTTCTCAGACAAATTGAGGATGCCAAAGAGCCTTTATTTATGTAGGCTATAACTACTAATATAGTCTAAAGTAGACCTTAAACCAGAGAAGAAATATATAATTATTAGTTTGTTAAAACTACTGGAGGGCTATCTAGGGGAAGGAAGGGAATCAGCCAGAGTAAGGGAAAAGGGGTACAGGGGAAGGCAGTGGGGATGGGGAGGAACAAATGAGAATGGAGTATATAATGGTACATTAAAAAATAAATGCTGGGCTGGAGAGATGGCTCAGCAGTTAAGAACACTGGTTGTTCTTGCAGAAGACCTGGGTTCGAATCCCAGCACCCACATGGCAGCTAACAACTGTCTATAACTCCAGTTCCAGGAGTCTCTTCTGTCCTTGTGGGCATTGCATGACACAGGTGCACTTACCTACATGCAGGCAATACACTCATACACATAAAAATATTTTTTAAAATTTACAAAAAAAATGCTATAATGAAACCAAAACTTTGTATGCTAATTTAAAATAGCTTCTGTATCCAATCTGTTGTGATGCCATCTCTGGAAAGTCCCTGTATTCTTGGGAGAGACTGAGCATGAAAAGGCACAAAATGCTGTGGCATTACTGTTCTGGTAGTTTTTTGTTGCTGTCATAGATTAGTGTGCACAGTGGCTTAAAACTACACATTTATTCTCTTATAGCCCTGGAGGCCGGAAGTCTTCAGGGGCTAGAAATCTGAGTCAGCAGGGCTGCTGCTCTGCCAGAGGTCCTGTGCCCCTTTCCACAGGCAGGAGGAGTCTCTTGGTAAGGGTCTTATTCATCCATTGCCTTTTCCACTCTGAATGAGTCCTGTATCTCCCTCTCCTAAGAACCCTTGTGATCATATCATCCAGATATTCCTTCCTAAGATCTGTGAATTAATCATATCTGCAAAGTCTCTCGTCATAAAAGGTAATATTATTTGGGAGCGATTGCTTGCCATACCACAATAACAACAACAAAAAAACCCCAGTTTTTACTTGTGGAACACCAGAAATGGTCTTGGAGATCCCTAGAGCCTTTTTATAGGGAACTAGATCATTAAACACCATCCAGCCTTCAGAACTGTAAGAAATCAATTCCTATTGTTTATGCCACTCACCCAACAGTATTTTGTTATGGCAGTCTAAGCACAGTAATATAGTCCAACTTTCTAGGACACCCCCAGAAGCTGGATAGCCTACACACAGTAACTGCCTCAAAGCAACTCTTTGGTACAATTCATGCTCCAGAATTTGCCAAAGATTTAGGCTGGATATAGCTTGAGTTTACACATCATCGCTGGTTGGAGCTTTCCTCTGCCTCATTCTGTTTCTCTCATCCCTCATCTCCACAAGGATTTGCTCAGAGAATCACATGCACTTCAATCCCTATGTTTGCACTCAGCAATGGGAAAGCAAGCAGCAAGCAAAGGGCACTGGAACACTGTCAGGAAGGTCCCATGAAAGGCAATGTGGGAGAGTCCAGATGGAAGTCACATCAGTGGTCACACAGATAGTAAGCAGAGGAACTGAGACACAGCATGTAGTGTGTGATCAAGTCTGCAACTAAAATCATTATTTGACACTATCTCTTTAAGATGGTTGACTGATTTGCCCTGAATAATACACTTTAGTCCCAGCTTTGGCATAGCTCTGATCTGCACCAGGGTGAGACAGAACAGAAACTATAGGCACAATTCATGTGACCCTCACTCAAATTCAGCAAAAGTGTAGACACCAAGATGACAGGAGACAGGTGAGAGCTATGTTTCAGTCAATTCATTAAGCATCATTTCTCAGTGTAAGTCCAGGCTGCAAGCACCCCATAAATGCTAGCCTAAGGGGTTGGAGAGATGGTTAAAATGGTTAAGAGCACTGGCTGCTCTTGTAGAGGACCCAGGTTCGATTCCCAGCACCCACGTGGCGGCTAACAGCCGTCTATAACTCCAGTTCTAGGGGATCCAACCCTGCCTTCTGACCTCTGTGGGCATTGCACAACACAGGTACACTACATACATGCAGGCAATACACTCATACACATAAAATAAAAATAATAAATTTTTTTAAATGAAAATTTTCCTGGCAGGGAGAACCAGCAAACTTTCTAATGTCTGTTTTTATAAGGGCACTAATTCAATCACAAGGGCCTCTGCCTCTTAGCTTCATGTAAACATAATTAATTGTCTTTCAAAAGTCCCATCTCTTGGGCTAGAGAGATGGCTTAGCTATTAAAGGCTCAGGCCTCACAACCTAAACTAAAGTCCCATCTCCAACATAGGAATTTTGAGGGAAGTCAATTTAGTCCATAATATGGGTATAACTTTCTGGGCATAAGGCAGTGCTCATAAGATTGAGGATAAATCTCTGGAGAATGTGGTGCAGCCAATACTCAGTGCAGCTGGGAGTGGCTGCTCAAGATGTCTGAAAAGGATGCCATGGTGTCTGCTAGACTGGTGGTCATGGTTTCTTTGTTAAGCACTTCCTGCTAGCCCTACTGCCTCCTGTGTGCTTCTGGGACTATAACCCTTCACCTGGAGGGACAGTGGAGTAGGTAACAAAGTCAGAGATACAGAAGGTTGAGAATGAGGACAATAACAAAAATTATTTTTACTGCTTTATTCTTTCTACATTACGTATTTTTGTGTACAGTGTTTTGTTTTATTTTCACACTTAAAAGTCTTGTTTTTTTCCCTTGTGTGCCTAACATTCCAGTGGCACTGGGGCTTCCCTTGATGCTGTGGTGTATTTTGTAGCTTCCTTCTTCTTCCAGTGTGATTTCAGCACTATCTTGTCACTGTACATCCTCCAGAGGCATACAAGAGGAATCATTGCCCTGCTGTGCTTTACAGGCCCCTCCTTTGGCCATCCTCCAACTGGGTTGCTCCTTACAAGCAGGAATCTAGAACTTGGATCCTCATTCATCCAGAGCTCTTGCCTCCCCTTTGGTCTACACTGTGGGTAACAGTACCCTGGAATTCCTGCCCATAGATGGCCAAAGAGATGGTGTACATGTTTTTGAGGTCCTTCCTGTGATAGGATTGTACCAACATGCATGTGGAATGGTTCATACCACGTCTACACTTTTAAGTCTTGGTGGGAAATCCTTACTACTTCAGTCTTTACAACGGTCTATCATTTTTGCGACATCTCCAGTGTTCTATAAAGATTTGTAGAGGTTAGTGGAAGATGGAATTAAGATGTTGAAAGCATTTTCCATTAAAAGGTGTGAACAGATTATTTGGGAGTGGGAAAACAAATTGTGTAAGTGCTGTAGTCTTTTTTTAGGGGCCTTCAAAGGACGGATCTGGTAGGCATAACTAAGACATTTCTTGGTGAAACCTTCTGCCTAGTGGCAGCAGCTTGCTCCAAAATGGTGGCTTTTGGGGATTGGGCCCTGTATTTGCGAATGATTGCTTTACTGATCACTGGTTTGTTCTTGTTCACAGGACTCCCCCTAGGGAGTTGGCTGTGCTGCTGTGCAACAAATCCAATGCATTTTACAGTCTTGGGAAATGGAATGAGGCATTTCTTGCTGCCAAGGAATGTCTCCAGTGGGACCCAACCTATGTGAAGGTATGTGGCAGTGGCTGTTTTCCTCTTCTTAATCTGCCTGTCTCTCTTCCTTCTTATCAAAGTGGGTATGCAGGGATGCTTCTTGAATGCACTTGCTCTTCAGACAGAGGCCCATGGAACAGGGGGCCTTATCTCAGGAGGAATAGATACAGTGACGGTAAGTGTTGAAATAAACTGCCCGGGGAGAGTGGAGCCTGGTCTCCTGGCAGACACAGTGCAGTGAGATGCTGGAGGAACTCATCCAGATGTGATGTAATTATACCAAGATGCATGTATCAGTAAGTTTCATTTAGCAAAGCTTTATTTCGGATGAAAATGGGTAGATGACATGATGGCAGTTCAAAAAGCATTTCTTACACTAGAAATCAGTCCCTTTGAGGGGAGCAAGGAAGTTTGAGAGGCCAGTGAGACCCTTTAAGCCGTAGGTAATAATTTGATGCTTTTTTAGTTAAAATGCCCTAGGTGTGTATTTTGTAAGGCAGCTTCACCTTTGGTGCTTCAGGACAGACAGAGTGGTACACATCATCTCAGACCTTGAGTAGCGCACACTCAAACTGGGGAGAGGAATAACATGCAAGTAAAATATGAGTCTTTAAATTCAACAACAGCCTGGAACTATCTAAGGCAGTAGGCTGGTCTGGATAACTTAAGCTCTTCAGTGAAGTGGGAAAAGTATCAGACATTGGCCTTTCTATCACATGCTCTGCTGTGCATTAGCAGGTTCTAGCTTTAAGCCTTTGTTTCTTCAGCTGTGAAATGAGATGACACCCAGGCTTAGAGTTGCTGTAAGGATTAAGGAGACATTAAGCAAAATTTTAAGCATTCAACAATAGAGTACAACATATGTAACAAGTTGATAGTAGTGTACATTTTGTGCATTAGTGTTGGAAACAGAGTACAATGGGAGTGGTGGGGAGGTTTGACCTACAAATGACTCAAATACTGAGAGGGACTTGAAAATTTTACAAGTAGGCATTGACCTTAGGGCAGGCTAGGTGAGCACTCATCTCTACTGAGCATATCCTCAGCTCAGAGGATTGATACTGAAGCTACTCATTCTGAAAATGGAAAGCAGGTTTCTGAGAAATTTTTTCAAGGGAATGTTAGGGTGTTCCCATCTTCTAAGATTGTGTGGGGAATGGCACAAGGAGGTTCTTGCACATGGCTCCAAGGCTGTGGGTATGGCACAAGGGGGTTCTGAATGATACTCCCAGCTTCTTTGTGTGGTCAAACTTGTAGCATCTCCTGACAGCAGCTAGGGTCATTCCCCAATTCTTACCCCAAATTCCTGAGTATCTCTTTTATTCTTCCCTTCTCTACTGTTCTTTATAGTGGAGGAATAATATCCTTTTATTTGCTACCTTCTTTTATTTCAATGACTGGAACCCTAGTGAATTAAACTGACAAGAGTGAGGGAAAAGAGCCTGAATTTTATTTGTCACTACTTTTTTATGGGAACATCTTAGAAAATAAGTGAAGACTCCAAAGAAGGGGATGGGCCTGAGAGTTTATATACCACTTAACAAATACCTATTTTTATGTCCATGAGTGTTTTGCCTGCATGTATGTATGTGCAATATATGAGTGCAGTGCCTGCAGAGGCCAGAAGAGGCGTGAGAACCCATGGAACTGGAGTTATAGATGGTTGTGAACAACTGTGTAGATGCTGGGAACGGAACCCAGGTCCTCTGCAAGAGCAGCAAGTGCTCTTAATCACTGAGCCGAGCCATCTCTTCAGCCTGTTTTTTTGTTTTTTTGTTTTTTTTTTTTTTTAAACAGAGCGTGATAGCCTGTCTTTTTTTTTTTTTTTTTTTTTAAACAGAGCGTGATAGACAAAGGAAAAGAGGTTTTAGGTAGGGACTATAGACTAAGGTGGAAACAAACATGAAGTAAGGACCAATTGTGTGGGGCCACCTCAGTGCTCATAGTTGGCCTTCTTCATGACCAAAAATCTGCTTCAAGGAAGATTTTTTTTTGGTAATCTTCACATCTTAGGAGTTTCTGCATTCAGTCAGCTAGGGAAGCTCCTGGAAAGTTTCCTTTTGCATCTGTTGAATCACAAATGCCTTCTGCTTATAATAATTTTTATGCTAATGTGGCATGTTTGGGGGTAGCATGTTCTGATCCTTTTCACCATCCTGCAAAATAAAAGATGAAATTTAAATCCAAGGAAACAAAGAAATGTGAAGTTCTATGCTAGCTAGCTTGCCTGATTGGGGGAAAAAACCCACAGTACAGACACAAATTTCCCTCATTTTTTTCAAGTTGTTGAAAAGTGTCTGGGGTCTTAAGACACTCAAACAAAGATTAAATCAAATCAATAAATAACAAGGGATCTGAGGCACATGGAGTTTCTGTGGAATTTTTTATGAGCCCAGTTTGTGCACTCTGCTACCTTAGAGGTTGTTTTGGCAGACACTGACTCTGGTGAGTGAGGTGGAGGAAAGGACGCCATCTTATTCCTCTTACAGAATCCCGATGTGCCTAGAGGCATGACCATACTGTTCCCCTCTTAAACTAGATGGTTTTACATTTACTTACTCATTTGTTTTGTGTGTGTATATGTCTGGGCATGGTTGTGCCATGGTGTGCCTGTGGCGGTCAGAAGACAACTTGTGGGAGTTGGTTCTCTCCTTCTCCATGTTGGTTCCAGAGGTCAAACTCAGGCCATCAGGTTTGGTAGCAAGTACCTTTACCTACTGAGCCATCTTAATGACCCCATCGCCCTCTTAGTTATTGTAATTTCCTTCTCTTTATTGAAACAAAGAAAATTTGCCTCTTGTGTATGTTGCTTATGATACAGCTCAGTAAATCTCAGTGCTTGTTGTTATAATTTTTTTCTTACATACTAGTGAAAACTGTGTTTGTTTTGATTAAAAGGAACAAGGAGCAACTTCTGTGTTTCCACAAAAATCATGCTCTTGAACACTAGTCATAGGACAATTTTCATTCCTTTCCTGGCCCAGACTGTGATTGGAGGTATGAACAATAAGCCACATATGTAACTGGGACCAGGCCTGCTTCCTTCTCTCTATGTCATATGTTAGAAACTTTAGAAGTTATAGAGTTGAACATGATTACATATTTTCTTAGCAGTTAAGATGTGGCAGGAAAATTTTGGCACAGAGTATAAAGTGGAAAGCCTGTATCTATGGTTTTTAGAAATCCTTCTTCGTCAGGCTGGGCTCAGAAAGTATGAGGTCCCAGGTTTGGATCCCCAGTACCTATGTAAAAGTTGGACGTGATGGTGGTACATGTTTGTAACCCTAAACATAAGGGGAGGGGGAGACAGGCAGGTGGATCTTGGGTGTCAGTATATCTGAAATGACAAAATCCAGGTTTGGTAAGAGATGTTACTAAAAAATATAAGGTAAAGAACAACAAGGGAAGATACCAGTGTTGACCTCTGGCTTCTACATGTGCACGAACAGGTGAGTTCACCTGCACATATGTGCTTATAGTGTGTGTGTCTGTGTGTGCGCACACACACACACACACACATCCTTGTTCATTACAAATGAAACTTGTGGCGTTGGATTTCCCCACATTTCAATGCTGTTTTTCTTTCCAGCAGCAGGTTAGAAGAGGTGGGGACATTGCTTTGCTGTTGTTCCTTTTCCAGGGATACTACCGAGCTGGTTATTCCTTACTGCGCTTGCTCCAGCCTTATGAAGCTGCTCGTATGTTTTTTGAGGGTCTACGACTTCTGCAGAACAGCCAAGACCAAGTACAGGTTCCTGATTTCCTTGTTGGGATCTTCACAACTATGAGCAGTAAGTCAAACTGGGGAAATTTTTTTTAAATTTTATTTATTATTTTTCTTTTATGTGTATGCATGTATTACCTGCATGTAGGTAAGTGCACCCATGTTGTGCAATGCCTGCGGAGGTCAGAAGAGACTGTCTGAACCCCTGGGACTGGAGTTACAGACAGTTGTTAGCTGCCATGTGGGTGCTGGGATTTGAACCCGGGTCTTCTGAAAGAACAGTCAGTGTTCTTAACTGCTGAGCCATCTCTGCAGCCTGGGGGAGAATTTTTTTTGAGTCATTGTTTATTTTGAATGCTTCATATAATAATTCCAAGGCATTCCTTTGTGGTTAATGTCTGCAGTTTGAACAAAAGCACTACTAGAAAGCATTTTGGAAGCTTTTGTAGCTTGTGCCTTTGTAAAAACAAAGGAGTCCTTTTGCACTAGTGACTTAAAGCTTTTCGAATTTTATGTCCTGTAAGTTTTCTTTGTCACCGTTGATACATTTCCCTCCTCATACTATTTGTCTTATGTGATTAAAAAAATATTTATATTTATTTTATGCCTGTGAGTGTTTTGCCTGCAAGTATGTAAGTACACCTCTTACATGCAGTGCCCATGGAGCCAGAGGAGGGCGTTGAGTCCCCTGGAACTGGAGTTATAAACAGTTGTTAGTTGCCATGTGGGTACTGGGAACTGAACCCAGGTCCTCTGAAAGAGCAGTCAGTGCTCTTAACCACTGAGCCATCTCTCTAGTTCTGTCTTATGTGATTTTTGTGGTTTTTGTGATTTTCACATATTTTTCTCTCTAATCAGCTGAAAATAGTCTTTTAAAAAGCAAAATCCTTAATGTTATTTGTTATTAGTGTGCGTGTATACATGTGCATGCATGTGGGGGTTAGAGCTTGATGTCAGTTACCTTCCTCAATTCCTCTCTGTTGAGACAGGTCTTTTTTCTGAACCTGGAGCTCAATTGATTCAGCTATGCTGGCCAGCCAGTCAGCTCCAGGGATCTGCCTATTTTCCCTATCCCCCCAACACTGGAGTTAGAGACACATGTGCCTAGGTTTCATGTGGGTGTTGGAGAATCAAACTCAGTTTCTCATGCTTGTATGGCATGGCACTTTATTGACTTGAGCTGTCTCCCAGCCCCCTTTCTGCATCTTTTGTTATATAAATAAGTCACTGCTCTTTCAAAGGCCAGACCAGTGTTACAGGAATTCAAACTGCTCTTGGTGATTATGCTTAAGATAACCAGAGTCTTTCCATTTGGTGCCCACCCTGGCTGGGCAGGGACAGTTAATAGAACTTTGTAAAATAAATATTTTTTTCAATATTTTATTATTTTAATTTTATGTGTATGATTGTATTGCCTGCATGTGTGTAAGTCCGCTTGTGTTGTGCAATGCCTGCGGAGGTCAGAAGAAGGTGCCAGATCCCCCCGGAACTAGAATTAAGGGTGGTTGTTAGCCACCATGAGTTTGAGAGATGTGGTTTGGAAGATCAGGAGATGCAGTATGTTGACAGGGCCCTAGTTTAGAAAAATGTGTGTTTATTAAAAGAGTTGATAGATCTGGATTCAAATCTTAGAGTTTGTTTGTTTGCTTGTTTGTGTACTGGGAATTGAACCCAGGTCCTCTGCAAGAACAGTCAGTTCGCTTAACCACTCACCCATCTCTCCAGCCCCTAAAGATTTATTTTTATTTATGTGTATGTATGTGAGTGTATGGTCATGTGTGTGCTGGTGCCCTTAAGGAAACCAGAAGAGGATATTGGATCCCTTGGAACTGAAGTTAAAGATGGTTGTGAGAGGCTTGATGTGGGGGCTGGGAAGCAAACCTGGGTCCGTCCTCTGGAAGAGCAGGAATCACTCTTAACTACTGAGCTATCCATCTTGCCAGTGTCAAACAGGACTTCTTAAGGCACTGCAATAGACACTTTTCTATCAAAGTGTTCCTTTTTGGAGGGTTGAATGGGATTATGTTTTGAAAAGTGTATTTATGGAATTTTATATTCTTTTATGCATTCTATGTTTGTTTACATATTTGTTTTGGAATTACTAATTCTGGAAGAGGTGCCCTGTTATTCTGCTACTTAACCTGTTTCCTTAGACATTGCCATCTGTGAGTTTGAGAGATGTGGTTTGGAAGATCAGGAGATGCAGTATGTTGACGGGGCCCTAGTTTAGAAAAATGTGTGTTTATTAAGAATATTCAAGTCTTGGAGTTTGTTTGTTTGTTTGTTTTTGAGACAAGGGTCTTCCTGTAGCCCCAGCTGGCCTGGAGCTCACTATGTAGACCAAGCTGGTCTTTTTTTTCTTTTTAAAATATTTTATTATTTTTATTTTTATGTGTAAGAGTATGTTGCCTGCATGTAAGTGAGTGCACCCATGTCGTGCAATGCTGTGGAAGTCAGAGGAGGTTTTTGGATTCCCCTGGAACTAGAGTTAAGGACGGTTCATAGCCGCCATGTGGGTGCTGGGAATTGAACCTGGGTTCTCTGCAAGAGCACTGAGTGCTCTTAACCTGCTGAGCCATCTTTCCAGCCCCAACCAGGCTGGTCTTGATCTCACAGGTCACCCTACCTCTGCTTCCTGAGTGCTGGGATTAAAAGTGTGCACCACCTCACCTGGCAAGTCATGGTTTTTGCCATGGATTATCTGCATGACATGCTGTGATCATGCCTTCATTTGTGACCATTTCAGTCTGTTCGATAGCAATAGTGTTTGTCACATTTTTCTTAAACAGTGAGTTTTGTAACCTCATTCAAGCTTCCAATTAAATAGGTACTGCTTAGAGGTTTGTTTGAGAGAATAAATATAAGCCTCTATCACTGGGCTCTGCAAATAGAAAAGTTAAATGCGTATTAGGTCACATTATGCTTTCTGACTCTTAGGAGACTGATTGTGTGGCTAAAATTGAAATGACTGCAACTTCAGTTAGTTATAAAAGACTTTATAATTTGAAGATGCCCTTTTGAGATCTTTTTATTTGTTTTTATCTCATGTATGTGAATGATTTGCCAGCATGTATGTAAGTATACTGCATGTGTGCCTGAAGAGGCCAGAAGAAAGCATCTGATCCCTGGAACTGGAGTTACAGTCTGTAGTTCACTGCCATGTGGGTACTGAGAACTGAGCCTAGTTCTCTTTTGCAAGAGCAGCCAGTGAGTGCTCTTGACCTCCGAGTCATCTCTCCAGCCCCTTTCCAAGAACTTTAATTTAATATTTATCTCTACATGGTCTTCATCGGTGGAATTTTCTCCAATGCTATAGACTTTCCTCACTTGAAAATTTATCAACTCTTTTTTCTTTTTCAGGTGACTCAATTGTTTTGCAGAGTTTCTTGCCATGCTTTGATCATATTTTCACTACTGGATTTTCAACAGAAGTGTGGCAATCTGTGATAGAGAAGTTGGCAAAGAAAGGATTATGGCATGTGAGTAAAAGGAGATGGCTCTCTTATGGGAAAAATATGCCCACCGTTCAGTGATTTCTTTCTATAGACACTGAGGTTGTGTGATATATTATTTATTTCCTCGTGTGTGTGTGTGTGTGTGTGTGTGCTTATGTGCCACTGAGTACCTGTGGAAGTCAGAGGGCAACTTGTGATTTAGTTTTCTACTTCTACCATGTAGCTTCTGGAGATGGAACTCAGGTGGTCAGGTTTGGCCACAGGCACCTTTACTGGCTGAGCCATTTCTCTGGCCCTCAGAATAATTTAAATGGGATACCATTAAAGGTGGAATGTTTTTGGAAAGTCATATTAATCCATCAGTTCCTTTTTAAAAAAAGATGGTAAAATACTTATTTGTGGCAACCTTGCTCCATGCTGCATCTCCATTGTCATCAAAGAAATGTAAAGTACAAATATTAATGGTGCTGTAAGATAAGGGAAATATAAAATTGAATAGTCATCTCCATAACTCTGTTTATTCTGTGTTGGCCATTGTAGGCCCAGATCTGTCCATAATGTTCAGAAAGGTTTCCGTATTTTATTTGTGTGTGGGAGTGAGTACAGTGTATATAGTGTGTACTCATGCACATGTGCATGCAGAAATGCACATATGTGTGCTTGGGTGTGGGGGTCAGAGGTTGACATTGAGTATCTTTCTCAATGCCCTCCACCTTATTTTATTTTATGTTTTTTGAGACAGGGTCTCTTCACTGCAACTTCAGGGGTTAACCTGTCTTCTCTTGCCTTAGCTGGGGCTACTGAGGCCCTCTGCTGTTCTTGGCTTTTTGTGGGAGTTTTGGGGCTCTGAATGCAGGTTCTCATGCTTGCATGGCAAGCACTTTGCCACTTGAGCTATCTCCCAGGTTTCTATACAGTTTTATGAGACTGCTAACTGGACTGGAGAGATGGCTCAGTGGTTAAGAGCAGTGATTGTTCTTGCAAAAGACCTGGATTTGAATCCCAGCATTCACATGGTAGCTAACAACTATCTATAACTCCAGTATCAGGGGCTCTGACTTCCGAGGGCACTTCATGATATGGGTGCACTTACACGCAGGCGTAACACTCATACACAAAATAAATAAACAAAAAGTTAAGAAAATGCTAACTGATGAATAATAGCTAAATGAGGATGGTATCCGTGAGCACTAATCCTCCACTTAATACTTTGGGCTGATTATTTCTATTTTGAGCCTCCTATCTTCTTTTGTAAGTTGTAGCATATAAAGTTACTTTCTCAGAGTTTTGTTTAGAATTAAGAAATAACGGCCAAGGGTACCTAACAGATCAACTTATGTTTGTTGCAGTCTTAGGATGTGCTAAGCAGTAAGCTAAGGAACTTTATGATAACCTGACATACAGTAAATGGTGAGTGAAGTGATTTTCATTGATCATAGGATATAAGTGCTCATGAGAACTGTTTGGCCATGGCCAAGGGTCTGGTTGCAAAGGGTGGCAGAACTTTCTAAGGATGGGAAGTTCAGAAATGTCCCCAGAAGCAAGGGCAGTTGCCAGTGACTCTAGGTAAAATGACTAAAACAGAATTCTTTGGCTTTGACAAAATCAGGTCTTCTATCAGATATCTGATCTAATCTATGATGCTGTACTTGCATGCCCTGACAATTTACATCTATTAGGGGGTTCACAGGAAACTCCCTTATTTCCAGCCATAGGCTTCCTGAAGCTTTCTTCTTAATAAGATCTTGTGAAGGTAGGTGGCAAGTGTCAGGAAGGCAGCTGGAATCTTGGTAAACCAAGAGCCAGAAATCAAGGGCTTTATTAAAAGACATTTGAGAATCTTCTCTCTTGAGATAAGGTGATTGGAGTAACAGATCTCTAAGGATCTTGCCAGCTTAAAAAAATTTTTATTGCTTTTTTTTTCATTTCATATAACAATCTTGATCATATTTAGACCCCTTCTCCTATCTGAGCCCCCCCCTTGCCGGATTTCATGCCATCTGTCATATATTTTAAAGCCTACTGAGTCAAGTTTGTGTCCCCAAATGTTCCTTGGTTTGAGTCCATCCACAGGAGCCTGGCCAACCTATCTAGCATCACTCCTGGCCAACCTATCTAGCATCACTCCTTTAAAGAAGACCAACTCTCCCTCACCCAGCAGTGATCAGTTGCCAATAGTTCCTCAGCTAAGGTTGGGGTTTCTTACCTGTATCCCAACTTCTTTGCTGGGTTTTGTCCGGTTTGAGTTTGCATGGGTCTTGTGTATGCTGTCATCATTGCTGTAAGTTCATTTGAGCAAGTTCCCAGTCAGCTGAAAAACTGTTTTCTTGTGGTCATATACCACTCCTGGCTCTTACAGTTTTTCTGTTCCCATTGTGTGGAAGACACAAGGTTCCTGAACTCTGGGTGGCAGAGATTTAATATTGGAGTCCTATCCAGGGACACGTACTGTGTAGTCTCTTATTCTCTACATTTTGGCCAGTTGTGGCCTTCTGTGTTAATCACCATCTGTTACATGAAGAACTTTATTTTTAAACAGTTCTAAAACCCTGATTCCAGTGCTATGGCAGATCTCTGAATAAGAGGCTTTAGCCCTCATTAGCAGGGATGAAGTTCAGTTTATACCACTAGGAAGGAACCCTTTCTGTTCTCTCTTTCCAGTGCAGGGTGGGCATTAGCAGAGTTCCATGACCTTGGTGGGGAGGGAGCTTTGGATAAGAATTACCATTTCACACAAAAAAGGGAAGCTCAGAATCCAGCCCAAGGGGTAGGCCCAATGTCATGACTATAGGTGATGGCCAGGTAGTTTCAAGTACTGGGGACTGAGGTGTCTTATAAAAGCCAAGCTAACAATCAGGACAGTCAGAACCCTGAATGCATTATCTAGGGTTGAGTGAGGACAATGGGCCTGTTGAAGGTGGCCATTGATTATGTGTGCCATACTGAAAGAACCTAGAGGAAATGTGGCTGTAGTCTCGGTTTTCAGGTTCCTAGTCCACTGGCAAGGACAAGAAGGAGGCTGGAGTTGAACCTATGTCTCTAGGCATGGTCATACAAAAGCCTGGATTTTAGATCTCTATGACATCAGACTTCCTACTCCCCTACCATGCTGCTTGCAAATCTTGTCCTTAGCAGGCTATGCAGGAATGCAGGAAGAATGTAGTTTGCAGCAAGGCAGGCAGGTGGCTAGATAGACTTTGATAGTCATGGCTCAGACTGACAAACTTGGTAGGTAGCTTGAGAAAAATGTAAGGTTTTTTGGGGGGGTCTCTTAAATAATCTTTTTGCTCTAATAACCTATATGGAGAATATCATTGTGCCAACCTCTTCTTTTTCTTCCTTCCAATCAGTCATTTCTACTGTTGTCAGCAAAAAAAGACCGACTGCCAAGCAGTATCTATGTCCCTGAGTTGTCACTGAAAACTCTGTTTGAGGTAAGTGGGGGTGGTGGGCTGCTGTGTTAGCCTGTGCTTAGGACTTCAATAGCTGCTGTACTCTAAGTGTGTTATTCTAGTAATCTCAGGTCGAGCCACAGCTAATTCATGCTTTACTAATTTCAAAACGTGTGGCTCAAGGTGTTTGAAGTTCTGTATTGATGTGGTCACTTCCATGATTCTGCCTACGTGTTGCTCTTTTTTCAGAAGTATGTCTTCATTGGGCTGTATGACAAAATGGAACATGTGCCTGGCTTGGTCCAGTGGCTCATCTCCATTGGCGCAAGTGTTGAGACCATAGGACCCAGCCCTCTGCACGCCCTCCTGCGGCTCTGCATCCAAGCAAGTGAGTGCCCTCCCTTCACTCACCCACCATGCTGCCTTACAGCTCAGAGCCTGTATTAGTTTGTTTTCTATTGCTGTGATAAAACACTCCAACCAAAATAAACTTGTGGAGGAAAGGTTTTTTTCACCTTACAGCTAGCTAATAGCTGGTCATGGAAAGAAGCCAGAACAGAAGCTCAACTCAAGGCAGGGCAGGAACCTGGAGGCAGGAGCTGAAGCACAGACCATGGAACAGTGATGCTTACTGGCTTGCTTCTCTGACCTATGCTCAGCCTGCTTTCTTATACAACCCAGGACCAGCTGCCCAGGGGTGGCACCACCCACAGTGGGCTGGACCCGCCCACATCACTCAACAATCAAGAAAATGCCTCACAGACTTGCCCCCTGGGCAGTCTGATAGAGAAAATTCTGTAATTGAGGTTCCCTTTTTCCAGGTGTGTCAAGTTGACAAATGAAGTTCTCCCACATAGAGCCCTAGGACCCTGTGGAACTTACAGGACACCAGAGTTTAGCTAGTTGAATGCAGACTGTCCAAGTGATTGGGGTTTTCAAATGGCTGAAAGCAGCAAGGACAGAACGTCTTTATTTCTGCTCGCATCTAGTAGCCAGAGAGATCCAGATTGTAAGGACTCTGTTTATTTTTTAAATTTTTAAAAAAATTTATGTGTATGTGTGTGTTGCCTGCATGTAGGTAAGTACACCAGTGTCATGCAGTGCCCACAGAGGTCAGAAGAGGCTGTCAGATCCCCTGGGACTGGAGTTACAGACAGTTGTTAGCTGCCATGTGGGTGCTGGGATTTGAACCCAGGTCTTCTGCAAGAGCAGCCAGTGTTCTTAACTGCGGAGCCATCTCTCCAGTCCCAGGATTCTATGTTTTCAGATTCTAGACAGAAGGGTGGAGCCCCAGATGGGGATTTGGGACAGACAACTGTTGAGGAAGAACTCCCATGTGAGCTGTGGGTCCCCCTTGCTGGCAGAGGCAGCTTGCATGGTTTGGTCCCTTCCATGCTTTCTTCTGTCTAGCCCAGAGAACCTCCTGCTCCTGTTGTATTTTGAGACTATGGGGATTAAGAGGAACATGGTCTGATCATGATAGTTTTATTGTGGCTCCAAGGATTGCTCTTCTCCTCTTCCTTCCTCTCCCTCCTCCTTCCTTCTCTCCTCCCTCCTTTTGAGATAGAACCTAAGGCCTTGGCACATCATTGGCAAACTCTCTGCCATTGACCTACCCTTCCTTCCCTTTAAAATTGTGAGACTGAGTCTTTGTTGCTGAGTTACCTGCTTTGGCCTTGAATTCACTCTATAACTCAGGTAGGTCTTGAATTTGCGTTCTTCCTGTGTTAGACTATCTGGGATTACAGGCCTGTGCCACTACTAACAGGACTCCTGTTTTCATAAAACAGATTTTTTTTTTTTTTCTTTTTGAGACAGGATCTTCCTGTAGCCCCAGCTGTCCTGGAACTCACTATGTAGACCAGGCTGGACTTGAACTCAGAGATCCGCCTGCCTCTGCCTCCTGAGTGCTGGGATTAAAGGCGTGCGCCACCACACCCAGCAACAGATTTCTTTTTTAAAAGCTTCATTTTTAAACAATTTTAGTACTTTGATTCTATCATTAACACGTACTCTTTCTCTCATACACACGTGCATTCACACACACACTCTCACACTGACACTTTAGGTAAACTTGGTTTTTCTTGCCAACCATAAGAGGCATCGTGTTTGATGTCTACCTCTATCAGTTTGAGCCAGAAGGAGCCAAGAGAATTTCTCTGTCTAGCTCCTCATCTTTCCAAAAGTCATTTGGCATGCCAGGATTTTCTGACTTGCTCTTCTGACTTTCTTTTCTGCCCCACTGTTACCCATTTCATCTACTGGGAAATCTATAAGAGATTTTATCCTTACATTAAACAAGGATTGGTGAACAAAACATTTAAAAGTAAAGCCTGATTAAAAGCAGTATAATCCCCATTCTTTCCTCTCTTTAAGTTATCTGGAGCCAGTGCAGTTCAGGCCACTTCCTTGCTTATGCCCTCTGCCCTGCTTCTCACCCCTTTTCTCCAGAGTCTCCTTCCTCAATAAATTACACATGTAACAATCCTTGTCTTGGGCTTTTGGGGGACCTGACCTAAGACTATGATGAAATGACTGTGTTTCTCCACATCTGTTTGTGGAGAGTAGAAATGTGTGTTAGATTCCTCATTTGGTTCCTTTAGAGTGGCACATGATTACTTTGTTGATTTTATGTAGGCGGAAAATAACATTTGCAACTTATTTCTGTCCAGGGGAAACTGAACTTTTCAAGTGGCTAATGGAACACAAGCCTGAGTGGAAAGACTGCATCAACCACAAAGATGAGGCTGGCAGCACTGTGCTGCACATTGTCGCTGCTCACTCCCCAGGATACTCCATCAAGCGTGAGTAGTGAGACCATGTGGAGGGTGTGTTGTGTGTCTGGTGACTGCAAGACATTAGAAAACCCACGCAACCCACCCTGGAGTTTTTTTTATATATGTGTGAGTGTAATAACCTGCATGTATGTAAGTGTACCCATGTCATACAATGCCTAAGGAGGTCAGAAGAGGGCATTGAATCCCTCGGAACTGGAGTTTAAGGTGGTTGTTAGCTGCCATGTGGGTGTTGGGAACTGAACCTGGGTCCTCTACGAGAACAGCCAGTGCTCTTAACCACTGAGCCATCTCTCCAGACCCTCACCCTTGAGTTTTAATGTTTCATGAACTATGGCAGGCTTAAAAGGCTGTACTTACCCTTTAGTTAAATATGATTGGAGAACAGATTGTAAGCAGAAGGGAGGATTGGTGAGAGAATTGCTGGGCTCCTGTGCTCTTGTGGCTCTAAGTGGCTTCTGCAGGGCTAAATGATTCAAGGACATGGCCTTCTGGCTGCATATTCTTCCTTGTTCTTCCTACATGTTATGAAATGCTTTTACTTTATGCCAGATCCGTGTTAGCTGCCTGAGATAAACTACGAGCCAGAAATAGGCATGGTATTTCCTTCATGGCACTTACAACTTAACATGGGAATTATATCCTGCCATATCCATAACGCTATACAACTACACAGAAGAGAGGCTGGCACACTGAGAAAAGGTTGTTTTGTGTTATGAATTATTATACTGTGAAGGAAGAAAGCTGCTCACCCCCATGGAGCTCTCTGAATGCACTCATTTCCCCAAACCAGCAGACCCCTCATCATTGCTTTCTGTTGGTTACAGAAGAACACTTTGTTTCCAGTTGTAATGGACTCTTGTTAATGGAAGGGATTTGAGAGGAGTAGTGGAGAGCTTATGCCTGGTAGTGATGTAGCCTGGGACTGATTTGGGAAACCAGGCTGGGTTGTGATCTTCTGATGACAAGCAACATTGGAAATCTGGAATTTTTCTTTTTAAAAAAATAAACGCCCTGTATATTTTAATTAATTAATTAATTAATTTGTTGAGAGAGAGAAAGAGAGAGAGAGAGAGAGAGAGAGAGAGAGAGAAAGAGAGAAGTGTGGTGGTCAGAGGACAATTTGTAGGATCAGCTCATCTCCTTTCACCATGTGGGTTCTAGGGATTGAACTCAGGTCTTCAGGCATTGTGGCAAGGGCCTTTACCTGCTGAGCCCCTTTTGAAATAGGCATCAGTTAGTTTTCATTGTACTTTGATACTCTTCAGATTGGAGGCATTATATTTTACTTTATTTTGTGTATGAGTGTATTGCCTGCATGTATGTGAGTACACCCATATCGTGCAGTGCCGTGGAGGTCAGAAGAGGTCTTCAGATTCCCCTGGAACTGGAGTTAAGGACAGTTCATAGTCACCATGTGGGTGCTGGGAATCGAACCTGGGTCCTCTGCAAGAGCAGTTAGTTCTCTTAACCGCTGAGCCATCTCTTCAGCCCCCAGATTGGAAGTTTTTGTCTCCTTTGTAGAAGTATACTATAGTAATTGTGCTAGTTTACTGGACTGTGTATCAAAGATGCATCAATGTAGTGGCTAACAATGATACCCAACAATCTGGCATAGTGCAACTGAGTTTTCTGCTGATTGTCTGGAAAGGCTGAGTTCAAGGTGTTGGCTTTGACTGGCTCTCATCTGGAATTCTAGGCCTGATTTCAACCTCATTCTGTGTGACAGAATCTAGTACTTTATAGGTGCTGAATTCAGGTGTCTAGTTCTTCAGACGTTGTCCTAGTTTGCATTCTGTTGCTGTAATAAAACACTCTGACCAAAAGTAACTTGGAGAGGAAAGGGTTTATTTCACCTTACCAGGTTACAGTCCATGATTGAACTCAAAGTAGGAGCTTGAAGCAGGAAGTGACTCAAAGACCACGGAGGAATGCTGCTTACTGCCTTGCTCCCCAGCTCAGGTTCAGCTATGTTTCTTATACAGCCCAGGCCCACCTGTCTAGGGAGGGTACTGCCCACAGTGAGCTGGGCCCTTTTGTATTAATAAGCAATCAAGAAAATGCCCCACAGCCACCCACAGGACAATGTGAGGGAGGAAATTCTTTCTAGGTGTGTCAAGTTGACATGGAAGATTAGCCACCACAGATGTCTCCCAGAAGCTTCTCTTAGGTTTGGTAGGCTATACATATTTATCTGGTAGCCTCCTGTATCTTCAAAACCAGGATGGGAGAATTTTTTGTGTGTCAAGTCCCTTTCATACTTTGAATCTTAGACTGCTTTCATCATTGACCTTTGACATTCACTTAATTAGGTCAGACTCAACCAGATAGTCTCTCTCTGTTAAGGTTAACTGATTTGAAGTCTTAATTATGTTTGTAGAGTCTGATCACAGCAGCACCTAGATTAATATTTGATTGATAACTCATACAGCATGGGTCAGGAGTCTTGGGGCTTAGCATTGTGCCTACCACAGTAAGATCTCAGTGGATAAGAAGTATAAGTTATGCCAGGTGTGGTGGTGCACACCTTTGATCCCAGCACTTGGGAGGCAGAGGCAGGCGAATCTCTGAGTTCAAAGTCAGCCTGGTCTACGTAGTGAGTTCCAGGCCAGTTGGGGCTACAGGGTGACCCTGTCTCAAAAAGGCCCAAAAAAAAGTGTTAAGTTAGTAATTTTTGTAAAGTAAGAAATAGGCAATGTGACTGGAGGTTGGAGAGGATGGCACAGTGAGCAGAATGGTATCTTGATAATGCCTTGCAGACAGTAAGCTTTAGTAAATATTCCATGGGGGAGCTGGAAGTTAGGCATTGATGTAATCTTCTGTACCTACACAGTCCTGTGTACTCCAGGGATAATCTATTTCAGTCTGAAAACTGTTGTATCTATGATCACTGAGACACCTTGATGCCTGTCAGATAGGCACATCAGAGCAACAAATGGAGCTGACAGCAGAGGGTTAGGGCTGGAAGGTGGTAACAATGACAACAAAAAAGCCCTGATGCCAAAGCAATTGCCAGTGTTTTCTTCTGTCCCCAGACAGGCTTGTGTTTGCTTATTTGTTTATTTATTCATTTATTTATATTTTTTTTCTGGAACAATATTCTGATTCCTCTCCAGGGGATAAAGAAATCTGAAGTCACAGCTTGCTCTTATCCTTACAGCTGTAACTGTTGCCTGGTAACCAGATTTCCCCTCTCTTTGCTTGTTGCCAAGGAGAGGGGAGAAAGGTAGAGAGGAGCTCACTTCTGAACCTCTTAAAAGCTATTGTCCTTCCCACTCCACACCACTACTCCTTGCTTTGGGGAGTTGGGTGGACTGCTCAAGGCTGTTAGTTTAGGTTCCTTAAACAAGAGGGACCTTGGTCCCTTGGTCCCAGGCCACTGGGAACAGGAGTACTCATGGGAACATCTCCTTATGGAAGGAGCCATGACAATACCCCCTTTTCGTTTTGGCCTGCCCTAGGACAAACAGAGGATGTACAGATGCTACTGAGCTTTGGGGCAGACCCCACTCTGCTGGATCGACACTCTCGGTCTGCTGTGGATATCCTGAAGAGGAATAAGAACTTCAGAGCTATTGAAAAAATCAATAGTCATCTGGAAAAGCTAGCTGCATCTTCTAAGAACCTATCAGGTACAGCTCCAGTGAATTAACTTTTGGGGGGTATGTGCGGGGAAGTGCTTCTGTGATATTAGATGCAAATTGGTTTATCTCTTCATACACATAGATGAAGTAAGACCTTTCCTCTCCAGTGTTCAGAAAATGTGTTTGTGGTTTTGGAAAGCCACATGAGACAACTCTTACTTAGAGAGCATCCATGACATTCTGGGAACTTTTCCAGGTCTACATTTGAACAGTATGGGTAATTTTTCCCCCTTGCATGCATGTAGAAAAAAAATGCAGAATAGAAGATACCCCAAATTAATCCTACTCCTCAGAAATGATCATTGCTGACAGTTTAAAACATACTATTTCTTGACTCGTCACTTTGGGAGACACTGCTGTGTAAGATGAAGTGGTGGTTGTGTCAGTCCTACTTGGAATTACGTGGTGGTGTCGTTTGTACCATTTATGCTCTAGTCTTTCACTCCTGTTTTCCATGCTTCATCTATGGATTGATTCTAAAATTGGAAGCCAGTGGGTGGCATTTTCATGGTAGTGTGATTACATAAAATATTACTCTTTCCACATAAGCAGCATGACTGGGACCGAAGAAATGAATCACTAACTGTCCTGAAACCGTTGCTTTTTAAATATGACCCTCTGTAAGCGGCTCCATGTAATAAGCATGGATATATTATGCTTCTTACAGTTCTTGCACTCGTGTATGACTCTTACTGTTCCTACTATCTATAGATTTCTTTCTTGCTTTGCTAGCTAGAATACTACTTGAGTTAAGTTTCTCATGGAGGAGCCATGGACAGTAAAATTATGGAGTTTTCGAAAGTGTCTACCTTCATGCTGACTGATAATTTGTTTGGATATAGGCATTCTGTTTCATTGATAGCAAGCTGCACTCCCCTTACCCCGCAGGTTACCATCTTTGTAATTAGGATATGCTTTAACATCAGCTTAACATGGCAGCTTTTTCTGGCATACTCAGTAATCCATGGTGTCTTTAGATTTATAAAATTCCATATAATCTTGTTACAATTTTGAAAAAAATATTTAATTGCCATCTAGTCCCCATTGCCATGGATCAAAAGTCTCTTTTCTAGAATGTTCTCTGCCCTTGAGTTCTGAAATTTCCTTGGATTTATCAAGAAGTGGGTCCTTATTCTTTTTTTGGTACTTGCTGGTCCATTTTAATCTGTCTTTCTTAGCTCAGGGAAAAGACGACCATTGTCTTCTCTTCCAGTGGGTTTTTTTTTCCTTTTCACTACTATTAAATCATTGGATGAGCTTCTTAGGTTTATAATGTATGTCTCCATAATATTTAATTTGGTTTCCAGCTTTTCCTTTGATAATTGACTTTGTCTGTTGCTACATTTTTTAAACTTGGTAAAGCCGTGATTTTAGTCACTAAGAACTCTTTCTTTTCTGAGTATTTCTTATTGTAGTGATTTATTATGTTTTCATTTGCCACATCTTCTTGAAATGCATCTTCTTAAGAATATCAATTCCATACATCTACATATATTTAAAAAAATGTCCTTTTCTCCTACCTGAGTCATTTGTGTTACTCTTGGAATTAGCTGATTCCTCTTGCTTCTTTGATACTTGTCATTTATATTTACTAATGAAAGACTAGATTGGTAATACTTATGAAATGGCTAGTGTATGTATCTTGCAGGTATTTAAATTCTCAGAATGGTATGTAATGATAGTTAAATTCTCTTGAATGGGTAGAAGAAAACAGCTTGTGAGGAGTGGGTTGCTGGGTGTGTGAGACAGTATGCTGTCTTAGGATTATTGTAGTTGCCAGAGGAAGATAAGCTTTTATGTGGAGGAGAGTGAAGCTGATTTTCATTTAGCACACTCCTGACAGTATTGTGCTCTAATTTTTATTTATTAATTTTAAGTATCTTCTATTGCTTCCTTGAGGCATGAAAGCTTTCTGAGAGCTTGTATATATAAAAATCTCAATTTCAGAATGACTTCTATAATTTGAGAAATCTGAAGTAACCGTACTGGTTGCTTTCTCTATGAATTTTGAAGTTTTAAGATAATAACAAAAAGAAACATTAGTTAATAGGTAGGAAATGGCTGATATGTTTACAAAAGTATATGTTACTAATTCTGGTCTGGTAAGAATAATGTGCATATTTAGTGTTACGGTTTCCTTGTAAAATATCCCATAGATACTCCTAAAGACACCTCATTGAGTCAGAATTTGTTTTTGTGGTGTTGGGGATGGAATCCAGGGCCTTGTCCATGCTGAGCAAATCTACCACTAAGCCATACCCTAGCCTTGAGACAGATTATTGCTCTTCCCTCTCTTCTTCCCCAGTTAAATCCCTAGCCTGGGTTTAGAACCATGGGAAGCAGACTATTAGAATCTAGCTTGTTTCCATTGTACTTGTAAGAGTTCAACTGGACTTTCTGGCAGAAAAGAGTGCATGAGAGGAACATGGAGTGTTCCAGTATTGCCACTTAGCTCCCTGTAGTCTGGATGACTATGTTTGGAGTCAAGCCCAAAGCCCAACTGCTCACTGACCATGGTTCTCATTGCTGGATGTTGCTGATTTGAAGGTGTTCTAAAATATTGACCATGAACGTTTTTCTTGCTATGCCAAAAGAATATTGAAAGACGATAGAGAAACACTGTTAAAAGGAAAAATACTGATAAAATTAGATAAGAAAAGCAGGATTGTAGTCAGAAAGGGTTAGTAAATTGGAGTCTTAATATTTCCCAAAGTGCTCCCAGCAGTAGAGCCCTTGTAGACGTGAATCCCTGGTTGTAATTTCTGAGTGGGGCTCTGCACCACGCATCAGTATTCCTGTGGATGCCGCCTATGTGGCTGTGTCGCCTGAGTTCTCTTAGGGTCCCTTGCTCCTGGCACTATTAGACAAACCATATAACACATCTTTATCTGAATTTTTCATAGTTTCTATCCTAGGTAAGGGAAATAGAGTAACTTACAAAGGTGAACACCCAGCACCCCACCGGGCCCCATTCTACTCCGTGGTTCAGTGGCCTGTAGTTCCAGATCACTTCGGGACCCCACCCACAGTCTCCATTATCTCCATTAGCTTTCACCCACGCCTTGTGGGCCCACAGTCTTGCCCCACATGGGTAAATGCCCCCTCTCAAGTCAATGCAGGCAAGACATTGGGGCCATATCCCCCTCCCGTTCTGTCCAAGATGGCCCCAACACTCCTCCCTCCCCGGCTAACTCTCCGCGGCCAATTCTCTGCAGCAGGCCCCGCCCCACGGAGGAAAAAGTACCCCTAGGGACAGGCTGCATGGAGTTACATGCATACGCTTTGTTTCTAAGGTTTTGCTTATTGTACAAATTAAAAAAAATTCTTTTTAAATTTTCATTTTATGTGTATGCATATATTGCCTGAGTGTAGGTAAGTGCACCCTTGTCCTGCAATGCCCTTGGAGGAGAGAAGAGGCCAGTGGATCCCCTGGAACTGGAGTTACAGACAGTTAGCTGCCATGTGGGTGCTGAGATTTGAGCCCGGGTCTTCTACAAGAACAACTAGTGTTCTTAACCGCTGAGCCATCTCTCCAGCCCCCAGTGTTGCACAATTTTTAAAGCCTAAGGCGAGAGTGAGTGGGAGCTCTTTCTTTGTCATCGCTATGTAATATAATTTTCTGAGGTAATAGAGATGTTCTATACCTGTTTTGTCTGATGATAGCCCCTACTCACATATGGCTAGTAATGCTATGACTCATGCACATGGAGAACTGAAAATTTAATACTCAGCTTTTATGTAAGTTAGTTAGTAGTCACAGTATTGGACAGGCTTTAGATTTTAGCCTTCAAAAGGTAACTCTATTCAAGCAGCAGCTGAGAAAAGGGTGGAATCAAAGGAAAGGGCTCTGGGACATGGAGATGAAGGTGGATCTGAATTTGGTTTTTGGGGGTCCAAATCTCACCTCATTCTCATCCATTGAAAGGGTAAATAAGGGGCTGGAGAGATGGCCCGGAGGTTAAGAGCACTGACTGCTCTTGCAGAGAACCTGGGTTCGATTCCCAGCACCCACATGGTAGCTATGTACCATCCTTAACTCCAGTTCCAGGGGAATCCAAAGCCCTCTTCTGACATCCACAGCATTGCACGACACGGGTGCACTCACATACATGCAAAAAATACACTCGTACACATAAAATAAAAATACTAAGTAAAATATATTTTTAAAAAAGGAAAGGCAAATAAAAGCCTTACTTTGGGGAGGAGCTACCCCTATGTTGTTTGTGTCCTCATCTTTATTAGTCTGGTTTGTTGAGTTTTAATTCTTTACATGTGATCTCAGCTCTGTTAGGACCAGGTTTGTTTTTGTCTTTTGGACTTTTTTCACCTCGATGAATGAAAGAACATTCCAGTTTGCAGACTAGGAGTAAAGGTGCTTTCTCCCTGTATTCAGTTCTGAGGGTCACTGTACCCCACTTTATTGATGATAGGGAACTGATCTTTGAATAGGGCAACCTTTGGTTTGCCCTGTTCAAACAAATGATTCTGCCAGAGATTTCTCCTATTCACTATACCAGAGCTTTCCCAACACGGATATGCATGCACTCTAGGGAATGCCAGAGACCACTTTTGAGCAGAAAAGCTTTAATCCTAGTCAGCCAAGATTATTATTGTCTTTGTTGGCTCTTCGTGGCCACCACCAGATGGCAGCGTGTTCACTTGGTTTAGCTGCTGTTGCTCAGATTTTAGGACTAGAAACAAGATCAGAGCCTTTGTCTGGCTTGAGGTCTTTTCTCTTGCTTGCCAGGCTTTGCCTTTTGGAATGATCTTGGATCATTTCTATCATTTCCATGTCGGGGGCTAGCTGTTTTCTGCTCTGCATTGGTTCAATGCCAGGAGAGTCTCTTATTTCTGTTAATGCAGGCATTGTCTTGAAGGATGTCAATTATATTTTTTTCCTTTCTGTAAACCAATATTTTAATTTTTAAAAGAAAATGTATGAGGTGCTGGAGAGATGGCTCAGCGGTTAAGAGCACTGGTTTTTCTTG